CGTTAATTCAAGATCCAATGCGTTATGAAGTAGTCATTACCGCGAGTCTGAGGTGGAGGGTTACAACAATTTGAGTCTTTCGATGGTGTGCCATTTCCTTGTGTAGTCTTCAATGAGTTACGGGGTTTCGGTTGAAAACCTTTCGGTAGGGTGATAATCCAAAAGTTGTTGTATTTTGAGAGTTGAATTATGCAAAACGAAACAATTTTACATTTGTTGACAATTCAGTGTATTTTGTAAGGAGCGGTTCACGCCTTCGACTAGTCCATTTGTTTATGGGGCATGTAGAGTTTGTGGTTTTTATTTTTTTATTTTAAATAAATGGCATAAAAATATGATTTCCTGACTCATAAACCCTGTGCCCATAACCGTGACATGAAATTTTTGTAAGACAAAACTTGCTATCCAAGGTTCATAAAGTAGGTATAAGCGTATTGAGGGTTACAATGCGGAACTGTGTTAGTGCTACAAAACAATTGAATTTATTTGTGATACTTTTATTAGGACGAATGAATTTCCTTCATCTCTTAAAGATGTTTTATTATGTTTTCAAAAAATTGAAGTAAGCTGTTATTTCCTAAGATGGTATTATCTGCTTCAGTAGGTTTGGTTTTGTTATTGTGTCAACGTTTTATTTGGCGTTTACCCGGACCTAGGTTTTGATATTTTTTGAATAGTTCAGCTGTAAGTTAAGCTGTCCATGGTATTTTGTTTTGTAATTTTTCATTTGCTCTTGGAATTTTATCAACGGGGTCTTTTAGATCAGAAAGATCGTTTTTTTGTGTATTTTTTATTTATATCTAATGGCCTTTGATTCTACGCAGTGTTCATTTCAACTGCTGCGTAATATTTTCCGGTGAATTTTGTGAGTATTTCGAGAGTTGTTTCTATTGGCCTGTTGCAATTTCATCCATCTATTAGGTAGTTTAAGTACCTTGCGTCAAGTACTGTCCTTTAGCTAGGATGATAACTGGATTGAAATAAATTAATTTTTTTGGTTTATGCCCTTTATTTACCCATAAAATGATTTCGTACTTTTCATGTATGCCCAGAAAATCTATATAATTTGTCCTGTGACAGGCCAATTTTAAACACTGCTTCTAGAAGATTTAGTGATGAATGGATTTTGCTGACGTCAAAATTAGATGTAGCATACACATAAGCAATTTTAAAAATTTTCATAATTTTCGAATTCTTCAGGAGTGTTAGAATCTGAGAGTGTTAGAATTTAAAGATGGTTTATTTTTTTTGTTCCGGTGTATATTTCAGTATTTAGAAAGTAGGTTTAAATTTTGCTGTTATTTGAAACAATCAGTTTTTCATTCTGGTTCTTTAATAATTTTTTATAGATAATTTTTCGTTGGCTCTTGTAGACTGAGAACAGTTTTTTGGGCTTTCTAAAATGGTCCAATATTTTTTGGGCTTTCTAGATGGTCCAATGTTTTTCCTTTGGTGAAAAAAATTTAGGAGTTGTACTTGAATATAATTGTGGTCTGTGTTTTCACAATTTTTATTTGATGTGGAACATTACTACTGTCTAGGATGAGACTCATGTGTTTCTCATTGGTATTATTTCCAAGTTTTTAATTCTGATAGTGGTTTGATTAAACAGGAGTTTAATTTTCATGTTCAACTCTCAACATGGTAAATAATGATGTTTTTTTGGCTTCATTTTCGTCATCTCGCAATGTATATGGAAAAGTTTTTCAATATTGTTGGGTCAGGGTTGCTTAAGATGTAGTTTGTCTTTAAAAAAATTCTATTGCGGTTGTTTGAATATGAATGATTGCTGTTATAGTTAGAGTAATCACTTCGGCTTGATTTTGATCTCGAGTTACTTTTCGAACACGCCTGATTGGTAAATTTTGGTCCTTCTCAGGTATTGATAAAAATGTTTATTTGGTGTTCTTGATTTGTTTGTTTGTCTTTTGTCTACAATCTGTGATGCTGTGTCCATTTTTTCTACAAAAATTACAACATTTATTGACTGAGGGTTTTGCGTTAAGATTTGGTTCTTCTCGTATATTTTACGTTTTTGTGTTATCTCATCTGCTAATTCAGTGTCTGATTCTTGTATGTTACTTATATTTGAGGTGATTCTTTGAATATTAGAAACTTTGTGTAGTTTTAGATTTTCGTTTCTACTAAATTACTTGTTAATTCTAGTTGTTCCAATTTGTCTACGAGTTTGCCAAACTCCATGTTGGGTTCGCGAAATGTTAAGGCATGTGATGCTCTTTTCTTTATTGTTAGTTTTCTTAATTGTGTTTCTAAAGTAGTTCTTAGATTTTCTGTAATTTTGGTGTTTTTATGTATTCAATGATTATGGTTTGCGTACTAGTTTTTCTTTTTATAAGGCGAGTTTTTTTATGATAAGATTTTCATTGTTTTATTTATTTTAATTTAGTTGGTGTTTCAATAGGAAGTCTACACATTTGGTTGCATTAATTTCTTTGATGTTGTTTGTTTCTTTCTGAATCGAATTTTTTTATTGAATTTTTGGGTCAAACGTTTCAAATCTGAATTTTTTTCTATTGGTATTATTGAAAACCAATTTTGAGCTGCTCCGTCAGTTGTGGTTTCTATTAAGTGTTTACGTTTGCGAGTACAACTTTGATGAAGAGGTGTGTTATTTGGTTCTGGGTCTAAGTTTAAATTCAAAATGGCTGTAACGGCAACTAAATAATCTTCAACTGAGTACTCTTGTCTGTTCCTGTGAAAACCATTACTGGTTCGTTACATGTAAAGGATGATCCGCCCATAAGGTATGGGTTCATCGTAGTTTGTAATGATTCTGCTGTGTTTGGTCTTTGAGTGTAATTTGCTTGTTGGTTTCGGCTCATTTCATGTTGCTGAAAATAAAACGGCAATGGTGCTCCATTTCTCATTGATTCTGCCTGGTAATGTGAAAAAAAACTAAACACTCTAATTGTATATTTTGATATAGTCGGGAAAATTCGGGTCATAGGTGTTTTAGCCTTTTGAGGTTGACTACTTGGTAAGTGCAAGTAAGGTTCAAAGGTATTTGGTTGGTAAATATCATCTGGTTCATCACTATTCTTCCATTAGTATTTCCGTTGGTTGGACTAATTTTGTTGTTGTTGAATTCGACGAGATTAGTCATTGTCATCTGAGGATTGAGATGGTTTTATGTGATTGAGTTGTCCTCTTTTTATATAAATTTGTTTCTGTTAAAAGAATGGGTAGTTTTCCACGTGCTCTGTTTGGGTGTTTGTTTGTAATGGAAATTTACCAATTGTGGATTCGGACTTTCGACTTGTTTCTGATTAAAATAGTGGCCTAGAAACTGTGATTTTTTTGTTTGAATCGGATTTGCTATTGGGTTAATTATTTTTTACTTTGCAAAAAAATCATAATTATTAATTGCAAAGTGGTTTCCACGTTTCTTTTTCGGTTCAATGAAGGATACTTTTTTAGTTATCGGTCCAAGTGTTTCCTAGTTCAATTGTGAGTTTATGGGAAGAACAGTTGGTTTGGCTGATGATTTTAGTGTTGTTAGTGGGAACGGGGTGTTGTTCCTGTTATATGGTGTTTTCATTGATGAGTGACTAGGTGATATACTTTGTTTTGTTGTTACCGGTTTGACTTTAACTATTTCTTCGTTTGCGAAATGTGATGATAATTGAATATCTTGCTGGTTAAGTGCTGCAGTTTTTTTGAGGTTTTCTTGTGCATGCATGCATGTTGAAATTAGGCTGTTAGGAAATGTTTTGTGGTGTTATAACAAGGTATTACCTAGAGTGGTGAATCAAGTAATTGTGTAGAATAATTGTTTGCCTATTTGTGCTTATTCTTAGAATGATTGATGCGAAATTCAGGTGTTAATTGTCGATTTCTAACCAGTTAGTTATTACTCTTTTTGTGAGGTTATCTTAAATTCTCGGGTCTTTTGTCTAGGCAAGATGGGTTGGAGTGAGAGTTTATCAATTCGGTTAAATGATAATTTACTGCTCTCAAACCTATGCGGCGAGATAGGATGATGATCCTCAGGACAGAAGTATCACCAAACTAACAACAATTAAAATGTTTTTTAGTTTTGGTTGGTATTTTTGTATTTTTAAAACTGGGATTTCCGAAATTTTACTTGAAAGAAAAACTACTGCAGATTTTTAGGACGAAATTAGACAATACTTTCTGTCAACTTCTTGTCGTTTTATGTATATTATTAGTTTTTGTACATTAACCAAACTAAATTGCGTTTTTATTCAATATTGCAACACTATTTAATGCAGTTTGTAAACTAATCAAATTATAATTTCACTGCACAGTTAGTATTGAAAATTGTGTCGCCGTCGTTTATTTTTTCTTGTTGCGATGCAGTATATATGTGGTCTCTTCGTTGTAATCTGGTTTCGTCTTTAGTATTGGCTTGGCTTGATTAGACTTATTGAGACAGGGAAACAAGCAAATTATGTTTTTGATTTGCTTTAACAATTCTTTGATTTTTTCTTAATCTTTTTTTTTTTCTTGAAATCCTAATTAATATAGGTCTGCTGGAGACCCGTTGGTCGCACCACATGAAGTTAGGTCACGTGCGGCCTTCTTATAGAGTAATTTTGGATAGGATTTACCGTCTGTTCGTCGCAATCTTATTTTCGGTCGGATAAATTCGTGCAGTTTTTAGTCTAATACAGATTAAAATCTTACTCTTATCTTTCCTAGTTTCAATTGATCTAGTATATTCTTGCAAGATGAGAGGAGAGAAAGAGGCAAGTGCTTTTCGAGTTAAATTATGTTTCTCTTGTTGAAACTATCTGAAGTTTCAGCTTTACAATTATCAGAAGTTTTAGTAATGGGGTGGTTCAAGATTGATTAGTTCCAATTATTTTACAGAGATAAGTATCAAAATATATAATAAATACTTGTTTGATCTGGTTCCAGGATGTGCACGCAAATAAGGATTCAGTTGTAGCTAGGGTTGTGTTGCAATGTTCTGTTCATTTGATGTTTGTTGTTCATTTGTTGTTGGTTTGTTTTAGTCGAAGAAGACGAAGAGTGGCAATCTGGACTATGACCTGCACTACTGGATTGGGCAGAACTCCACCCAGGACGAGTACGGGGCAGTGGCCATCAAGTCAGTGGAGCTGGACACTTTTTTGGGAGACAAGCCAGTGCAGCACAGGGAGGTGCAGGACAACGAGACCGAGATGTTCAAGTCATACTTCGATGTCCTACAGTAGGCCATCTCATTGCAAATTAGCTAGTACGCTCCCCGAGTCGAGAATTTTCACCTAAATTGAAGCAAGATTTGAGCGGTTTGAGCGGTTTGAGCGGCTTTTTCAAAGAAAAACCGCTCAAAAACCGCGCAAGATTCAAACGGTTTTCATAGATAAACCGCTCAAAAACCGTTCAAATATTGCGTGAATTTTTGGCGTTTTTATTTAAAATAAACCGCTGAAAAACCGTTCAATTCTTGCGCAGTTTTAAAGTGGTGTCGAATAATTATTCTTAACGTTCCCTCTTCGAGGTCTGCGACTAATGTTTCGACCGAAATGGGTCGACTAAATGGATTTTCTGCGACGGAAATTCCATCATCCCGCCATCATCTATCAACATAGCTAATTTGGGTCGCACAAAGTCGCAAAATAGCTAATTTGGGTCGCGCAAAGTCGTAACATAGTTCGTTTGGGTGGCAAAAAGTCGCAACATATTTCATTTGGGTCGCACAATGTCGCAACATAGTTAATTTGTGTCGCAATCAGTCGCAACGTAGTTAATTTGGGTCGCACAAAGTCGCAACATAGTTAATTTGGGTCGCGAGATGTCGCAACACAGTTAATTTGGGTCGCTCAAAGTCGCAAAATTGTTAATTTGCGTTCACAAAGTCACAGAACAGCTGTTTTGGGTCGCGTATAGTCGCAATATGATCATCCGTGTCAATCAAAGTAATTTAACTTGAGCTGGTAACTGTTCTTCTTAGAATAAAGGAGGGCGGAGCTGACAGTGGCTTCAAACACGTGGAGGAGGAGGTGGTGAAGCCTCGCCTGCTCAGGTTCAAGATCGAGAAGGGCAAGTTCCACATGAAGGAGGTCACGTGTAAGAGGGCCAATCTGGACAGTGGCGACGTGTTCATTCTGGACAATGGCAAGGAGGTCCATCAGTGGAACGGCAAGAAGGCCAGCCCCATGGAGAGGATGAAGGTCTGTGTAGAGTTGAGTTTGTATCTGGGGTGGCTCACTCATTAAGAAAGTTCAGAAAAAGTACCCCGTCTGTTCGTCATGCTGTCTTATTTTCGGCTTGATAGATTCGTGCAACTTTTTAGTCTAATTTGTAACGCTAAAATTATTCATAGTTTCAGCAACAAAATAAAATAAATATAACCCAGAAGACAGTCCTTCTCCTTCAGAACAGCTCCTGATATCAAACTCGCAAATACCAGTATACACTAGATCTATTGACACTAAGAGATTTAAGAGTAAGATTAAGACCGGTATTAGACTAAGAAGTTGCACGAATCTATCCGAACGAAAATAAGATAACGTGACAAACAGACGGTGTACCTTATCTGAGATTACTCTATGAGTGAGCCACCCGTACAGAAACTCATCTCCAAGATTCTAGAACAGGTCCTCAACAAATTTATTTTTAGCAAATTAAAAACAGAAGTCGAAAGATCAAAATTACATCACAAAACATTCGATAGTATAGAACATTTATTAGGTTTATGTCTACGCCTCAATAAGTCTAATCAACTAAACTTAACGATAACACTCACAATAGGTCGAAACCCGAACAGCAGACCGATCCCCTATATCGTGAAACGACGCACACTGCAACTATTATTTCTCTACCAAATTCTCAATGCAGTAGATTTTCATTCACTAACAAGAAAGAAAATTTACTTGGAGCAGTATTTACTCTTTTTCAAAACATATACCTCTAAATGATGTGAAACCATATTAAACAACATATTAAAGACAAATGATAAAAAAATAAAAATATATAAAGTTCGTTCATTTCATCAAAATTGCAGTAACTACAAAATTTTTGTAAAATTGAAATTTATTGAATAAAAAATACAAAAAAAAGTCAGTAAAAAAATTAAAGTTACTTTTAATAAAATTATAAAAAAAACTCCTTGCTTCTCAAGGACTAGTATTCTCTTCCTTCCATAGTTATGCTTCTTTGTTTGTTCATCTAACACATAACCATAAACGATCAGAAATTAATATCATTTATGTTTAATATCGTTTAAACCAAACCTTTTCTAAAATTTACAATCTTTCCTTAAAACTTAAACCTTATTTTTTTCTGTCAAGGCCCGTCCTTGTTTTGTAATAACCTAATTTCTTTTAAGTCAGATCATCAAGACTATCCATCAATCTTTAACTTTGAACCTAGTTTTACGTTTTACTCCATTTGGTTTGAAATATTTGGATCCCTTGGATCAATCAGGAAACTTGTTCTCTTAGTAAAAAAGTGTCTAAAGACCTCAATTGTCGATTCAGTCTCCAAGCCTTACCAACGACCCATGAATAATAGAATTGTTTGAAAAACTAATCTTTTTAATTAAGATAAACAGTGAAGAACTTCTAATACTCATCCTTCACTTGAGTCCCTCCTCTTAGTTGACCCAGGCTTACATACATCATAAACTAAGTGAGATCTATCATAGTATCTAATGATCTACTTTTTATACCTGAACCTTGTGGATTGATATACTATTCTCAAAACCTTAAATCACAACCCTGAATAAGTTTAGGTAAGTTTTTCTTATATTATAACTTAGCCGCCGAGAAAGTACAAAAATATTCTAACGAATCGATATATTTTCTCTCCAACCTGTCTACACTCGACAGCATATGCCCCATGATTAAGATAACCTCACAAAATTTCTCAGACTAACAGTTTATGAAATACAAAAATAAATTCCGGTTTTTGCAACCATCATTCTAACACTTATGTCAAGAGATAAGAAATGGAACAAACAATCAATAGTAATCCACAGTTGTTGAATTACAACCGAGAGGTACGATTTTGTAATTACATCACACAAACAAGAAACAGGACTCATTAAATTGAAAAAACAAACAATAAAAAAGGCAAAACTCACAAAACAAAAACAAGTTATTAAACAAAAATTTTCAAAAACACACAACGCAGTTTTGGAATCTGACTCAACTACAGTGCAAGAAAAATAAAACGTTTGAGATTTAATAGAGCGAAAAAAATAACCATGAATGCCCAAAATATTCCCGAATCAGAATCCACAACACCACCATTTATAAACAAGTTATTAAACAAAAATTTTCAAAAACACAAAACGCTTCCCCACGATAAGTAACCTGCTTCCCCACGATAAGAGCGTGCTGCCTATTGGAACCAGTTAAAAACTATTTATACCCAATTATATTATTGATGAAACTATCTCAAAAAAATTTTCGAACAAATCAATCATGATTCAGAACTAACAATTACACTTATTTGTAGCGCTAAAACGATTCATAGTTGCAGCAACAGAATAAAATAAATATAACTCAGAAGACAGTCATTATACTTCAGAACAGTTCTCGATATCAAACTCGCAAATACCAGTATACACTAGATCTATTGACACTAAGAGATATAAGAGTAAGATTAAGACCGGTATCAGACTAAGAAGTTGCACGAATCTATCCGAACGAAAATAAGATAACTTGACGAACAGACGGTGTACCTTATCTCAAATTTTTCTATGAGTGAGCCACTCCGTACATAATTTCATCTCCAAGATTTTCGAACAAGTCATCATCAATTTTTATTTAGCAATTTAACAATAGAAATAAGATCGAAAATACATCACAAAGCGTTCGATAGTATAGAAAACTTATTAAGAATGTCTCTACGTCTAAATAAGTATAATCAAATAAACCAAACGATACCACTCACAACAGGTAAAAACACGAACAGGTGCTCGTTCTCCAGAAGCGGGTCTCGTATAACCTAGATCATATTGATTGATCGTGTCAAGATTTCAAATTTATGCAATGATGTGTTGATTTCGTTAAGCTAGAGCGAGACTAAGCGCAAGGTGGAGTTTGACTACTTTGTGTAAGCCGCCAAGTGAGTAGGATCCGTACGTGAAATCAACTTCGAGGTGGCCATTGTTCACCTTCAATGGGTACTTTTGCTGCGATGATGGGTTCACACTATAAATCCTGTGAGGGTTGTGACTACATCAACAAACCAGTAGATTTGCCATTCCAAAGTCGGAAAGTCATAGGGTTTTCATCTCCCTTTGCTGCTCGTTCCTTTTGCTCTACGAAGTTTTTCTAGATTGCATATTTAGTGTAAATCTTGCTTTTGAAAATGGTTTTAGTTCTGATATTTATTAGTTGTTTTTATTTACTATCGGTTTTTTAAAAATACGCTCACCCCAGACAGTTCTAGTCAAATGTAAGCGTGGTGTAGTGCGGTGAGTTGGCCGGCTATAGAGCATGCTCAGGATGTCTTACTTGTGGATGAGGCCAGTTGAGGGAGTATAATTCAACCGTCTTTTATAGCAGAGACTCTTTTCGTGTTCAATTTTTTGTTCTTTTTCATCAGGTGTTCCACTCTTTTTGCCTTTTGTTGTGTCCTTTCATCAAAAAATATTGTTTCGTTCTGGTTTTTACTTTTGATATTTCGGTGTTTAGATGGTTTCAACAAAACTTAAAAAAGGGTTTCAAAAGGATAATTTAGCCAGTTTTAAGCTGCGTTTAATCTGGTTTGCTTACAGTGGGACTTTCCTATACATGCGGCAAGTTTTGTGGTTTAAGTAAGCTGCGTTGGTTAGTTTAAGCTTGCTTATAATTCCTTTCAACCGGGATAAGGGAAAATTTGAAACGCGTGAAAACAAATCAAAATTATTACAGTTAGTTTCGAAAACTTCTTTTAGTGGAAAGAGTGCGTGAAATATGGGCGAGTAAATGAGTAAATGAGAAAAATTTGTGTATAAAAATTAAACACAGATCAGATAAAAAACTATTTATCTGTAGTTTGAATGGCGTTATTACTTTACTAATTCATGGATTATTTTTACTACAAAATTATCAAATTGTTGCATTCATAAAAAATTTAAATCACTTAGGATAATTCAGTTTCATAGGTAGGTTAAAAATTGAAAGATAAAGAGTGATTAGTTTTTTTTATTTTATCCTTTGGATGAGTGACTGGTTAAACCTAACAAAAGTTGATTAAAACGTGTTGAAATATTGAGTGTCTGATATATTTGTGTTGGTGATAATAGTAATTTTTTAACTTACGAGGGTTCAGTTTCAGGGAAAAATCCAGAGAGAAAGTTGTTAGGGAACCATCTTGAAAGTGTCAGATGTTACTAAGAGCTTGGCAAGCATGCGTATTACGTTTTATGTGCGAAGCAGCAGCCAAAAAATTTCAAGCACTCTGATGTTTTTCACTTCTTTGGTAACAGCTGAAAATTCTTGATTTGAATTTTGGATGAGATTGTAAAGCTCGTGGTTAAATTTGACGTTCTGGATCTTTTCAAATAGG